GTCATGGAAATCATAGACAATGTTCTCTCCAGAAGCTGCACTGTGTGTTTGACTGAACCAGATCTTTTTAAGTTTCATTTGTATCTAGCCTTGTTCTTGTTAAAAAAATCATGAGAATATTTTCAGATCTCAGCCTGAATAAGTTACTCAAACCAGGCTTTTTTTTTTTTTTTTTTTTTCCCCAAGTGCTTCCTAGCTTGTCCAGTGGACAGATAAATCCAAACAGAATGATAAATTAACTGATCACATGCTTTCCAGTGAGAAGCTTACCTTTACATTGAAAACCTCTTTTCACAGTCTCTTTCTAGCTTCGGTAACAATCTTTAAAATTGAAAAAACCCCACCCTGATTTCTTATTCACTCACTGAGTTAAAGGTGATCTTTACCTGTACGGTGGTGGCTTCAGAGACATAAATTTATCTAAACCACAAGATGAATCTGAGCAAAAAAATATACATGAGTTTATTAGAGAAAGCTTCACACAGGGAGCAAGCAGCATGTCATGGGTCTGAAAGCCTCTTTTCTAGGACAGGAAATATATAGGAAATAGGGACCAGGTATGACTAATAAAGCTTGTCCTTAGACTGAAATTCAGACCTTAATCTTCGCAACTGAAGGACAATCCTACAAGCTTATTTCCCAATAATGTTTCTTACTGGGTTTTAAAATACAGGATACTTTGTGTAGATCTGTACTTTGAAGGTCAGGGCGCTACTCACTTTGATTCACTCTCATTTTCAACAAATGACAACGGCTGGTATCTTTAAAACTCTTATACAAAGAATTTACTATTTCTGATGTTTGGGACTACCAAAAACAGAAAAAGGAATAAAACATATATATGTATATATTTAGGAAAACAAAGCAGTGGTCGTAAACACGTTACTTACACATTTTGTAAAATTGTTCTAAATTTCTTAGGCTTTTTTTCAGTATGATGAAGGGTTAACAGTGAAAGAAATCCTACACTGAAGTCACTCACAAAAATACTTGCTTAGTGCCAATATTTCAATCAAATCATATTTGTGTTTTGAGGAAACAGTTCAAATTCAGCATTGATTTAACTTCACTGGTTTCTTTGATACTATGGCAGATTTAAGTTACTAATTTCATTTATTAAGTGGCACATCTAGTTACTGTACTGCCAGATCCTGAAAACATTCCAGAATCTCATACCAGAGGACACTGAGATGCACATTTATTTTGGGACTGGTGCTGATCTTTCATGGTCTGGCTCTGATCCCTTTATTGTTGATGGTAGAAATAAATTATTTAAGTAGGTACAAAAGTCAGTCTTTTATGTTGTATCAGCCTTCAGTGTTATGCATTCCCTCCACCTCACCACCAGGAGAATAGACAAGGCATTCCTCTACACATCAAAGGAAAAGAAATTATCTTTCTTTCTTTTAAGTGGGCTTTTTGCTTATTATTTGCTTAACATAAAAGACAAAGTAAAAGATGACCATTCTTTTTTCCACACAGTTGAAAGTATTGGTTTCCTTTAAATAATTTGGGTTTATATGGGAAATTACAATTTTAGTAAACACTTTTCCCTACTTTCTTCGAGCTTCTGCTTCTAAAAGTGATATTAAAATTTAAGATTAGAGCAATTCACTATAAAAGTTGATAACTGAGAGAACATCTTTAGAAAGACAATCTAGGTCTATATATATATAATGAAGTATGACAGGTTATCAATGTAATGCAATATGTGCAGCTGAGGGAAAAGCTGATAAAAAGCTTGAGGAATGTGAAAGTTTCTGATGTAGGAGGTATTAAGTAAGCCCAGTGTATTGTAAAAATACTTAACTAGACCAAATACAGGAAATGTTTACTTAAACAGTGATGTCACCGCTATACTAAAATAATCTGGAACGTAAAAACATTTTCTAGAGTTAGTGTAACAATAGAGCAGATTCAGAGTAAATTGGAGCACAAATACAAAATTTTCTTTCCTTCATTATACCCCACAAATGCCCCTGGGAGGATGGCTCTGTGCTCCCTTTGCTCCTGTGGCAGAAGCTGACCTGTTCTAGGTCCCAGAATGCATGTGTTAGCATAAGAAACAGCAAAGCAAATTAGTTTGAGGAAAACAGTATTCCCAGAGAATGAGAGAAAATGAAGCTACCTAACTCAGACATACTTTAGTCACCTTTTGCAGGTATGCATTGTATTCTGTAGATATGCCACCATTTTACTCTAAACACAGAATAAATCATATCAAAGACTTGGATCAAAGACTGTATAAAAAAAAATTCTGTAATGCAGAGCTACTAATAAAACTAGTTCTCTTGACTCTGCCAAACCACCTTCCTTAGCTAGTCTGTCAGTAAGTGTTCAAAATCTAAAACACAAGTCATATGACAGCAAAAATAGGCAAAATACCCGCACAAAAGATATACTAAGGGTAGCCAATTACACAATACTTTGATGGTTTGGTGTGTAGTAGCTGAGTGGAGGAAGGGGATTATTTTGCCAGCTGGAAAGAAATGGAAAGGAAGTTGAAAAGTACAAAAGGGCTCAGGCATGAAGGAGAGAAGAGTTAAGAGAGGAAAGTGTGGATTGAAGCTCAGTTGGAAAATCTGTAGTCAAAAGAGGAAAGCTCTTGGATCGGAAAACTAAAGAAGGCAGAGAAGGAGTAGTTAAGGTATAAAAAAGCTTTGAGTTGCCATTAACATCTGCTGTCAATCAGGTTTGTTTCTAGAATTAAATTTTTGATGGATGAGGTTAACAAGCCTGAAAGTCCAAAGGAAAACCTAGCCAAAACCAGTGTCAGAGAGTCTGAAAATCTCCAGCTGAACCATGAAGACAGCAAATCCTCATCTGCAGCTTCTTTTTCACTCTTAGGACACAATAATGCCTGTTGCATCGTAGTATCATGTATACCTTGAAATGAACTTCTAGTTCTTTAAGCTTCCTAGAAAAACAGAGAATGAAAAGTTGCTGTAGAAGTAAGAAAACAATATTTTTTCTAATTTTTATTGTTGCTTTAATTCCTTGTGCATATTTTGATGCATGAAAGTGTATTATTTGTAGTTTATACTGGCTTTGTTTTTTTTCACCCTTCATTTCATCAGCACTATGGAAGAGAACAAATCCCTTCAAATGAAGAAATCATTCTCTGAAGTGCAAAGCAAAAGTTGGCTCACTTTGGAGCTCACTATACATGAACCATAGAGACTTTCCAAGATACCTGTCCCAGATGACTCACTTTTTAAGCATTAAGCATAGTCCATAAATTCTGTTTCAAAGTTTGAATTTACAATGGATTCTATTCATAAAACTGTCATGGTAGGTTTTCTAAGAGCATTTGACATTAGTGTGCAGAATGCTTCCAAGCTGAGTAAAAGCTGAGCTGTTCATATATATCAAAGGTTTCTCCTTTATAGACAGATGGTCAACTTGCCATTGGACTCTCAGAGAGAAGGCTGTGGGGAGAAGTGTTAGCTCAGAAGCGCCAGACTACAATGAAACCTGTTCATAAACTGATCTATGGTCTTTGCTGTCTGTTCAGAACCCATTTTAAGAACATGACCTAACTCCCATCAAATCCAACAGGCTTCAGTAGGAACTGGAACATGCCATATGTCTGAAAAGGAGCGCTTCTCTTGCACGAAGACATACTACTTGTGAGTGGGAGTTAAGAGTGCATGGCAGAAGGAAAGAAATTTTTGTCCTATTAAATTTCCTCTTTGCCATTGTATTGAAAAATATAACTGATTTCATGCCTTGAGAAATGTTCATGTTGGACTAATTTTTAGCTGATAGAAATTGCCACAATTGTGACTTCTGTAGCTCTACAGTGAATCCCGATTTATTTGTACTGTGATCTGTAAGGCAGATGTACAGTGTATAGATGGGGTAAAGATCATCACATAACGGCAACATTCCAGTTGAATTCTGCACCGAGTTTCTTTGTTTTTATTGTTTTTCTGTGAATTTTCAGTCAATTTCCTGTGACTGTCTTAATGCTCCTTTTGTCTTTTTGGGGGGGAGGTGATAATTTTATGAAAAATGTTTAGAAACAGAAGCTACTAGACAATAACTGTAGAAACTGAAATTGAAAAAAAGACATGCAAATGTGTCCATTAGAACCCAGAATTCTATTCATGCAGTCACAGTGGAAATACAAGACTTGTATAATGTGGTTTACCAAATACTATCAACATAACTTAACTTTAGAAATTCTAGTGTAGGTCAAGATTGTTATTTTTCATCTTCCCTCTGATCAAGTAAAAATAAAGTGCCTCCTTTGAGTAGACTACCCACATTGTTGGTCACAACCAGAGCTGGGAAAAACCTTGACTTAAACCAGTCTAAATATACTATGATAAAACCCAGTAGCTTTAGAAATTTGGGGGGGGGTTTAAGATATAAGCTGTAAACTCTATCATTATAGTTTTATGCAGATTTGATAAGTATGCAAAACTTCATAATGAACTGTAGCCATGATAAATTATCCCAAAAGAATGAGAACTTCATAAGGATAGACTTCTGGGAATGAGCTGCATGAGTCTGCATGGTACTGTTCCCTTGCCAGGCCAGTGGCATTTGAAAAATGACACCAGGGCCATCTGTTTCAAAGGGATATGACCATGTCATGATGATTTTTTTTTTTGCTTGTGGCTACTAAAATTCCCAATCCTTAAACACTTGATTTTTTTGTAAAGCCTGTAAAAAAATCTGCTTTATTTTGGCATATAATAGACTCTTGTTTCCAATATCAAGTAAGGGCCTTAGAGGAACACAAACTAGACTGTGCTCATACTAGCATACTTAACACCCATATTTATTGTTTTCCTCCCATTAGACAAGGGTTTCTAGATTTTCCTTTTTAAAAATTCTAATTCTGATGGGTAAGTTTTAGTCCTCACTCAGTTGAGTAGTGATATTGGGTTTTATCTTACATATTATTTAAGAAAAGCAGGATCAGTTTTCTTTTCTTTTCTTTTCTTTTCTTTTCTTTTCTTTTCTTTTCTTTTCTTTTCTTTTCTTTTCTTTTCTTTTCTTTTCTTTTCTTTTCTTTTCTTTTCTTTTTTTCTTTTTTCTTTTCTTTTCTTTTCTTTTCTTTTCTTTTCTTTTCTTTTCTTTTCTTTTCTTTTCTTTTCTTTTCTTTTCTTTTTTTCTTGTCTTTTCTTTTCTTTCTTTTCTTTTTCTTTTCTTTTCTTTTCTTCCATTCCATTTTATGAAAGAAGAATTTCATAAACTTTTTCCTAATACATCTTGTAAGGGATACTGTTGAATCCAGGAGGAAAATTACCTTAACACTAAAGAGAAGTATCTTGGTGATGCTCTGTCTTTATGATAGACAAGGGAACTGGTGGAAAGCTGAAAAATGGTAAGAAGAAATGTATGTGCAGGAAGAAGTTTTGATGAAGATGTTTTTTGTAGCATAGCAATGCATGTGTGCTAGAGAAGAAAGAAAAATACATTTTCTTAAATTGGTGATGGCATTTCTCATGGTCTTGAGAGAGTTTTGAGACATAAATCTCCCTGCACTGAACAGATAATCATTATTCTTAGGTGCAGACTCAGAAGGCCTGAAATCTACCTGTCCCTATGGTCAATATTTGACTTCATTTACACACCACCTTCAAGTTCCTTCATTCCTTTTCCTAGTCTTAATCTTTTTACATTCCCTAAAGTTTATAGTGTCTACCACATAATCAACATTTTGAAATAATGCTGCAGCTTAGGGTCTAAGGACAAATATGTAAATTTTTTTCTGTTTTTAATGCATATAAGTAAGTGTGCTTGTATATGTGCATGTGTTTTATTTACTGTGTTGAATTAAAATAATGTTATCACAGCAGTTAAAGGAGGGAGAGATCTATTCTCTTCAAGCCCACTTCCCTAAAAGGCAATATATTGTCTCCCAAACACAGGATAGGTTAGACAGAAAGTTATTACATTCCATCCAAACAAAAACACTCTTACAGATTTTCTCATACAAAATGCCATTCCTG